AGAGGCGTAGGTTGCAGGATCGATTTTAGGAATCATTTTACAACACCTGGACGGAGAGTCAAGAATAAAAACAACATAATAATGAGAAAGAACCAAGAAAGAACCAAGTAAGCAGTTGACATATCAAAAAAAACCAATTTTGTTCACGTGCTGATAAATATCTCGGGGTCGACCTCGGGCTAAATCGATCCCGAGAATTAAAACAAAAAATCAATACTGTACACTTCCTCGGGTCTAAATTCGGGCGAAATCTTTCCCGAGAATTAATTTGCAAACGAAAAAATTCCCGGGGATTTTCGGGCGACGTGTTTCACGAAGAACCTCTAAAAAAATTGAAACCTCGGTCTTCCTCGCCTGGATTCGTCCCGGGAATTTTTCCAGCAAACAAAACCCCAATTAATAAATTTGAATTCACCAGTTTCCTACCCCATTTCGCTCGAAATCGCCCCGATTCTTCACCTTTTTCAACCTAAAACCACTTCAAACCCAACATTTACAGACCATAACCCTTCTAACTGTAACAGATAACGACGATGAGCATAAAAACCTTTCAATAGATGAAAACTAAACGCTAAAAATAATGAAATCGATGATAATAGAAAGTGAAATTCTTACATGCTAAAATCGACAAACCCTAACTACACAAACTAACGAAATCAACTTACCTCCAATATTGAATGCCAATAGCGAGGAAGAGAGCTTTTTAGTCAGCTTTAGTACTTGAACAGAGGAAGAAATGGCGAAGAAAAAAACGGAAAAGGAGAGGAAGAAGAGAAAGAGGGGGAAACGGGGGAGGCAACGGTTGTTTTTGAGGCAAGGGTAAATATATAATTTCGTTTAAGTTTAATTTAACTAAAATAATAGAATGAGTCATCCAAAACATTTATTTAAAGGTGGGTTATTTGAGCAAGAAATTCTTCTGAGAGGGTCATTTGAGTCAATATCCCTTGTTACGTGAGTTATGCTCTAGCGGTTAGACAAATGCCTCTCACTAAAAGTGGTAGATTCGAATTTTTCATCCCCATGTAATACTAATGTTCATGCCCAAAGAAAAAAAACCACAAATAAGAGAATAATAAATCATTAAACTAGGAGAGTAACTAAATCAAAAATTAATTTACCAGTCATTTGATAATCATTTAATTTTAGTTATTTTAAAAAATTATGCTTGTCTATTCACAATTTAATTTTAGTTATTTTAAAAAATTATGCTTGTCTATTCACAATTTCCTTGCCGTTTACCAAAGCAAATGAAAATGTGTTGATACTATACTACAGAAGATGTGAAATTCAACTAAACTTAAAAGACCAAAACTAAACTTTTGAAACCCTAAACCATATAAAAATGAAATCCAAACCTTAGAAACTAAATTAAAATTTTTATAATCACTAGTACCAAATTGAAACCATGCTCTAACCATCAAAAACAAATTTACGATTCAAGAAAAAAAAATTATTAGAAGACAATTTTACTTTCCATTTACCAGAAAAACAAGTAAACAACTCATGACAATTTCCAAAAGATAAGTCCATCGTAACAAATAAAATCATAGCAGAAACATTTCCAGTAGAAAAAACAAAGCATCAGAGCAAAATCCCATTAAACAGATATTTCAAAATTAATGTTGTTCATGGCCTTTCATCATGACTACACTAAACTATTCCTTAAGCTGTAACTGCTGCTTGGCTTGCAAGCCTCTTCCTGGCCTCTTCAATTATGGATAACTTAATACCCTTGCCCTTGGGAAGGGACACCCATGGCTTGGTACCCTTGCCTATTGTAAACACATTGCCTAGCCGAGTTGCAAACTCGTGCCCGGTCGCATCCTGGATGTGGATTGTCTCGAAGCTTCCCTTGTGCTTCTCTCTGTTCTTTATCACTCCAACACGACCACGATTTCTTCCGCCTGTCACCATCACGACATTTCCCACGTCAAACTTGATGAAATCAGCAATCTTGTTGGAGTCGAGGTCCAGCTTGATGGTGTCATTAGCCTTGATCAGAGGATCGGGATAACGGATTGTACGTCCATCATAAGTGTTCAGGTAAGGGATGCCCTTTTGCCCAAACTGCACTGAGCGAACTTTGCAGAGCTTATACTGAAAAAACAATATGAGGGTCAACCATGAATCGCCGAATGGTGTCGTAATCCGTTACTTCGGAGGATTAGGATATTAATTTCCCTATGCGAACCTCCCATGATAATAATCAGAAAAAAGTAAAGTGCATTTATTTTCATCTGAATCTTTTACATTTAAAAAACAAGATTGTAACAAATAATAAGTCAAAGTTCAATATCAAAGAACAGTAGCTAACCTTAGCCTCTTCATCCCTGACTGAGTGAAGACGGAATCGGCCCTTTGTGTCATAAAGAAGCCGAAAATTCTCGTTTGTTTTGGGAATAGACACAACGTCTGAGGAAGGCGTGACAAAAAGAAATGTTACAAGGAAGTGTTATTCTTAAAATGTAAAAACAAAAATAATAAACATAACAAATATCAAGAAACTAAGAGATAAAGCAGTTCCAGCAGTACAATGTTTATCAGAATGACTTCCATATGAGTTGAAAATCATATTGGAACATGTTATCCTTTTTTTTAGAGTGGAAACCATATTGGAACATATTATTCAAAGAAAAGGAGCTTTCTTATGATCAATTTTTTGACGCTATAGTTTTATTGGTTATTACTTGGTGTAAATGTTCCCACTTTTCCATTACTATAGCTTTTCTTCTTTCCAATTGGAGAAGGTCTTTAAAGTCTCTGGGGTTTCCCCTCTTTTGTAATTTCACGATATCAATGAAATTGTTTCTCATGGCTTAGGGCGGGTGTAGATGCTCCAGGGTATAGGGGAGCAAAACTTCAACTCCCAATTATCAAAAAATAAATAATGGTAAAATTATCTTGTTTGCAAATGATAATGTGGCAGGTAAAGTTATAGAAGATCACTATTCTTTGGCCCATTCCCATTTCAGACAACATTATTTGTGGGAAAAAATTAAGGCATCTTTCATTGAGAAATAATGGGGTGCTACAACAAATGAGGGCAGAAGCAGAACCAACACTCAAGTTATCAAAAATACAAAATACACAACTTACAAGAAGGGCTCCCCCAAGTCATTAGTAGTAGAAGGGTGGGGGGAGCACCAAAACCAAAAGAAGACAACGCCATATGGAAGCATTGAAGTGAAGTTAACACTCCAACATTTTCCCATTTCAGTTAAAAAAGTCAACAGCCAACTCCACAAAAGTAAAATGCCAATTTAGACGAGCTGTTCTAACAACTCTGCAATACTGGCACTTATGTACAATGGTCAGTAAATATTGGAAAATAACAGTATAATTACAATGTTTAAGAGAAGCATACCCATGAAACCCGCGGGATATGTCTTGTCTGTCCTCACCTTCCCATCAACCAAAACATGTCGTTGCATTAAAATTGCAATTACCTCACGGTATGTGAGAGCATATTTCAGTCGGTTTCGCAAGATAAGGATCAATGGAAGGCATTCCCTAGATTTATGAGGTCCAGATGAAGGTTTGGGGGCCTACAAGGAGATTTAAGAGGAGGAACAAAATGTCAGAAATAGGTGTAGACTTGTAGTGCATAAGCTTTAGAGAAAAAGTAAACTGAAATGAAACTAAGAGGTTGACTCACAAATGCACCACCGAGTTTGTCGAGCATCCAATGCTTCGGAGCATTGAGCCTCTTCAAATGCTTCTTCAATCCTCTTGCCTGTCATACCAATTATTAGTTGACGTTAATTTCAAAGGCAAAATTATCTGAACACAAAAACGACAGCGCACAAACAGAAATTTGAAGAGCATAAGCCAAAAAAAAGAATGATAGTGCACATCTGTACCCAGCAGAACGACTGTAATAACTACACAGAAAAAATCTTTTCCCTAAACAACAGAACCCAAATATTGTAACTCAGTTTTCCATGCCTTCAATACGTTGCCAAAATGACAATTAACCTAAAATATTCTGCGTTTTAAAAAAAGGAAAATGCAAGAATTCTCCGACTTCAGAGAGGAAACAGTAAACAAATTACAATATGAGCATAAAACTATTGAATCCCAGTTGAGCATTAAAAAAAAGGATTTCGAAATGCACTAACAAACTAAAATACAGAGTTGAAAACTCAATCATATAAACCAATCATACTTGTATAAAACCAGCCCATTGGTGAACTTTTCATATTCATGTGCGCAACAAATTTTGTCTCCACAAAGAAAGAAAAGAAACGCGTAATCACATCACGAAGAGACAAATCTGCAGACTCATATGTCACCTAAAACAGATACAGAAGTCTAAAATCCCACAAGCATAAAAGAACAAAATTCAAATGGAAACAACGATATTGAACATTTGAAGGGAAAAACATCAATGGACAAATGAAACCAATGAGGAATGGGTTCATAAAGAGATCCACTGACCATATCTTCGAATCGAAGCTCGAGAGAGCTAAACCTGAGGTTGCCGCCGGCGTCTGTGTGAGAGAGCTAGGGCTTCGCCGAAGTGAGAGAGAGAGAGTTCGTGTGAGAATGGGCCAGCCAGTGCGAAGAGAGAGAACTTGAGGGAAATTTTATTTTCTTTTTTCTTTTTTTTTAAATAATATAATGATAATAATAATTATTATTATTAAATTTTTTAAAAAATTAATCATTTAATAATAAGAAGGGAAAAGAAATCAATCAAAACATATTTTTCTCACTATTATTATGGTAATTATTTCGAAGAAAAAATAAGATTTAAATTTCAAAATGATGAAGATAAATGCTTTTGAATAAATATTAAAAAAAATAATTTTGTATTGAAAAAATTTATATCTTAATGAATAAAATAATTATAGTCGTGGAGATGTAATGGAGGACGGACGAATAATGGAGGACGTACTCGTGGAGATCTAATGGGCAATGATAGGAAAGAAGATGCACGTGGTGACGTCATGGACCATATCGACGTAGATGTGAAAAAAGGTAGACTACTACTCCTTTCTGATTTTGTAATTACTATGACTTTTAAAACTGTTTCTTTCATTCACGCAGGTTAGTGTAGAGCTGGTCCAAAATGAACCAAAGGTCTATCAGGTGGTACCTCGGGAACCAGAGATCTATGAGATACCAGAGGTCTGGAAGATACCAAAGGTCTATAATAAATCAGAGGTCCTTGAGGTACCAGAAGTCCAGAAGGTACCAGAGCTTCAAACGGTCCTAGAAGTCCTTGAAGGAGCGTGTCAAGATGATTACAATGATATCCATAGTACAAACATGTTGGAAACTACAAAGGTAAACACATAGCTTGATCAGGTACGTGCAAACTTTTAGTTTGTTTGCTAACTAAGCTTCTTGTAGGATGAATTGGTTGAGGACAACTGTGTTGATGATACTAAGGGTGATTGTGAGGTGGTCGTTGATGAGGCCGAAGATGTGGTCAAGGTGAACGATGGTGTCGTTGTCGTGGAAGAGGTAGAGTCCGACTCCATTAGGTTTCAGACGCCGAGACAAGAGGTAAATAATTATACTCAACATGTTGAGTTTGCCTTTTCACGGGGTCCTGACTAATTAACTTTCAGGTTCCATTTGTTGAGAGTTCATCGGACACGGAAGAAGAGTTTCTAGCCCAATCATAAGGCGTGGACCCAGACGAAATACGTCTGCTCTCACAACCAATGGCATGTCCCCAAACTCATCATCCAGAACGGAAAAGGAAATTTCCATGGAAGCTGCAAGGGTTGTTTGAAGTTAAGGTAGAGGGGAAGCGAAATAAGGTGGTACAGTATCCTATTGTGGATACCCTCCCTGATCATGATGCCAAATTTCGGACGTGGCTAGATGACTTTAAAAATAACCGTTCAACGTAGAAGATCCCATATTCCACAGGAAATAAGGACTGGTTTTACGACCTACTGAAGCCATCAAACTGGTGCACGAATGAGGTACGGGCTCATAACCATACGTAATATATTAAACAAGTGTACATCAATGTTCATAATCGGGTATTGTTCACAGGTCGTTGATGAGTTGTTTATGTTTATGCAGAAGAAGTTTGAACAGCGTCCTGACCTATGTTGTTGGAAGTTCACAATAGGCGACATTATTTTGGTACGTATATTCATATTCATTGATTTAGTTGATATTGTTTATGTAACAGAATTTCTAATTTATGTTACAAAACTTCTTTCGACGATGAATGGATGACCCATAATACCCATGCATGCAATTCGCCAATACCATACCTTCAAGAGTAGCAGACAAGTACGATTGGGACGAGAGAGATAAGACTGTTATGGGTTATATTAATTAACGACACTCATACAGACTACCATTTGTGGTGGATGGACGTGGATGCTTTATATCTCCCCTTCAACATAAGTGACAACCATTGGGTTATTATTTGTATCAACTTTGAGGAATGAGAGATCGCAATATGAGACTCCCTGAAATCAATCACCACAGATGCAGCTATGGAAGATCACTTGAAGGTTATGCACACTATAGTCCCATAGTTGCTAATCAAATACAATGTTATGAAAGTTCGACCTTGTCTACCGACTACACCATGGTGGGTTCATCGAGTTAGGTCAACACTACAGCAGATTGACAATGGCGACTGTGGTACTTTCTATGTAAAATATTTGAGTATGATGTAACAACGTCCACTTTGGATACCCTAAGACAAGATAGAATCTCATACTTTGAGAGGCAATTTTCCTTTCAACTTTAGGCAAATAGGCCTAATTTTTTATAGTCTAATATATAAGTGGTTTTATTTTATGAAATTTGTTTGTAATCTTTATGATTATCATAACTTAATACGTTAATTACCAACAAAATTCTTAAGTTGATAATTCAAACAAATGTATGTGAAAGTTTTAAGTTTATCATTTAAATTACTTGGTCCAGGTCGTGTATTATCCCCAACTGGGTTTTATGGCAGGAATTCAGGAAGTTAATTAAAATTTCTCGGGCGCATCGAGTTTACCCCAGACAATTTTGTTGACAAAATAAATTTTTATGTTTTTAAATAGTTTTTCACAAGTTTAGAAGAACCACGGTCAGGGTGGGTGAAGAGAATTGTGACATGATATCCTTTGTGAAGGGATCGAATCTCGTAGCGGAAGCATGTGAATGCTTGTGCTTTGATTTGTTTTAAGAAAAACTACAAAGAAAAGAAATAAGTAACACAAAAAAGAGAACCTACCTTTGAAGATTAGTCTGACCAATCGAACACCGACACCACCACAAGGACTTCCTCGCTATCCTCTGGACGAGAACCAATTTGTGGAAACCGTCTTTGAAACAGGGAATTTTTTAGAGAGATTGTGAGAGAAGCCAAGTCGAGAGAGTTTTCAAAATGTATCAACGTTTCCATAATGCAAACCTTTTGCATTTAAAGACGAGTGAAAAGTAGAGGGTAAGTTAATTCCCCAGCTCACCATAATCTCACTTCCTTGCATTATGCAATGAAGTGGGTTATTTAGTTAATTAAAAATCAATTTAATTAAACTAAATAAACATAATTGAATTATCTAACTAATTAATTATGTTTTTGTTTTAATTAAATATCATATATTTAATTAGAACTTTATTCAAATGCACATCTCTCTCATAATCTATAGTTTTAATGTGTATCTCATGCACATTAATTTTAACCTATAGTTTTAATATGAATCCAATTCATATTAAATATTATTTGAATCTTATTCAAATAATTCTCTCATAACAATATAGTATTAATTTCGAATCCTTATTCAAAATTAATTATATAACGTATCAGCATATACATTATATATATGGTGTATGCGCTATACACTTTCCCTTATTAAATTTGAACATTTTCAAATTCTTTCAAATTCTTAATCCTCGTTTTACCTGTTGTGAGTTAACAATGGGACCTAATGAACCTACAGATTAGAAGTTCCAATGATACAAAATTACTTAATTAAACTCATTAATTAAATTAATCAACATTTATTAACTATGAGTTACTCCACTACAGACTCACAGCTGCACTCTTCACACTGTAGAATATTTTGTGTCCATGGATATTAATCATTAACAGTAATTCAATCCTTCACGTTCTTGTAACTTCAGTAGGGTCAAATTATCATTTTACCCATGAGTTACCTCTTTTTCCTTAAGTACCATTGATCCTCAAATATATAACCTATTTATGGTCTAACCATTAAACAGAAGTCTCTCTCGGGCCAGTGAGAGGGTGGAGCCCTTTGTTCAAGTCTCAAAGTCAACACTAAAGGGAACACTTATCCACTTACCCTAAAGTCGGGAATGAGTGAATTTCATCTTGTGTAGTTATGTTCCTAGTTCCCCACTCGAACTTGTCCCCAAAATGGTAGGTATATTGAGTCAGCATCTTTGGCCACTCTCACTCATACAAATCGAAGGATAATTCCTCATTGGTGTTTATAACTCAATCAGCATTGAGATAGAGTTACATGGTCATCTTGTGAAATATTAATCTAATTTGTTATCGATGTTACAATTAAAGATTAATATTTTCGTGGTATTGGCATATACCTCAAACCATGAGGTTGTGAGTTCGATCCCCCATCCCCACATGTTGTACTAAAA